AAATTAGGCCTAGGCTATAATAAATCAGTTCCACTTACCAACTTGACTGAAATAATCAGTTTAATAGTCCCTTTTAGGAATTTATGGGTCAAAATCGAAATCCATGTTGAAAAAGATTTTCAAAATGGATTTCGATTTTGACCCATAATTTCCTAAAAAGGGACTATTATTAAACTGATTATTTCAGTCAAGTTGGTAAGTGGAACTGATTTATTATAGCCTAGGCCTAATTTACATGTGGATATGCACGAGGTAAAATGACATTTTGGGGGATTTTGGGGGCAAAACGCTACGACCTGAAATGGCCGTGGCGTTATCAAGGGAATGTGTATAGGTCTAGACGGTTTCCGTCTCTAAAGAGAGAGCCGGCCGACCCTACCCCAATAAGAGGCTAACGAACGAAAGAGACGGAAAATTCGGTCTAGATAGGCCGATGCCGATGGCGATGGATAATAATAACGCCGGTGCCTTACATGCTTAGCTGTGGCTGACCCTAAACCGAAAAGAAGTCAGCTGTCCTTGAACATTGGTTGATACTTTATTCTTTAACTATTCAAATGTATGGAAATTGATATTAGATAATAATAATAGATCTAATAATATAGATCTCTAGACTAGATCTAGTCTAGTCTCTAGACAGTCTATTCCTTGATTTTCAAGTTCAAATTTCTGTGAATTAATACTTGAAAAAGGCCAAAGGCAGAGACTATGACAAATATGATTGGTGATGTCTGAACTGATGATGGTTTTTTTTTAATTTTTGGATTAGGAAACTTTAGTTTATGAGGGTCTGTCATTTGTGTCAACTTATTTTCACAATTGCAACCATAATGCCAGTGGCTGGCATGGGTATGCCTTTGTCTAATAATAGTAGTCTAGATGATTGATCTAGATCAACTTTTCTGGGCCTAGATTCTAGATCTAGCCTACTTCTGACTTTTATATTTTAAATTAAAGAAGAATATTGGATGTAGACCTGATATAAAGCCTAGGAACCTACATTATTTGATTTCTTTCTTTTCATTTAAATATTGGAATACAGTTCACTCAATCAGAGCTACAGTAGATTATCTAGACTATACCTGAGTGTCCTGTCTGACTGAAACAAAAGAAATAACGTATAATTTGCTGAGATAACCGCAGGCCAAGAAAACTGCCTACATTGATGGAAGTTGGAACCAGTTACAGAATCCATTCACCATGAGGATCTGGCACCTACGACGCCTGGTTGTCCTGCTGGGGACGGCAGCCGTCCTGGGGTCCATCCTGCTCTTCATGTCCGGGAGCAAGTCAGGCCTGTCGAACATGAATTTCTTGGAGAGTGCCCAGATAGACAGGATACAGAGACTGAAGCAGAAGATGAATTTACCACTGAGGAGAAGTGCACCTGTGGCTAATAATGGTAAGATGATGAGGAGGGGGGAAGGAGGAGGGGGAGGCGGAGGAGGAGGAGGAGGAGGAGCCGAGGAGGAGGAGGAGGAGGAGGAGGAGCCGAGAAGGAGGAGGAGGAGGAGGAGAAGGAGGAGGAGGAGGAGGAGGGGGAGGAGGAGGAGGAGAAGGAGAAGGAGGAGGTGGAGGAGGAGGAGGAGGAGGAGGAGGAGGGGAAGAAGGAGGAGGAGGAGGAGGAGGGGAAGAAGGAGAAGGAGGAGGAGGAGGAGGGGGGGGGGAGGGGGAGGGGGAGGGGGAGGAGCCGAGGAGGAGGAGGAAAATTATGATAAATTTGATAGGAAAGAAAATGAGGGAAATATAGTGGAATGGTTGATGTTGATGAAGAAGGAAAGGAAGAAAAACAAGGAGAAAATAGGGGTGGAGGAGGAGGAAGAGGAGGGGGAGGAGGACGACGAGGAGGACGAGGAGAATGATGATAATGACGATGGGAAAGAAAATAGGGAAAATGTAGTGGAAATGGTTGACGGTTTTTTAAGAAGGAAAGGAAGAATAACAAGGATAAAACATTACAAAGAATGTGAAGATGAGATGATGATGCTGCTGATGAAGAGTTGTGATGGTTGTGAAGAAGATGATTAAAAGGAGGACTGTGGTAATGGACATAACTCAAAAGAGGGTGGAACCGTGGAGAAGGTGAGACAGAGTAAAAGGGGAATGTTTTGGCAATAAGAGCATAAGAAAGAAATAATGAGTGGAGAATGAAATAGAAAAGAAGATTGGAAGAAGAGGGTAAAGAAGATGGAGAAATACTAGACAAAGATAGGAGGGGGAGATGGCAAAGAAGAAATACATGTAGCTGTTTAATTCACCCCATACAAACAAGTTAGATTAGAGTGTCTACTACTGTCAGAAATGAGAGATTTGTACTTGAATATATACTTGAATATATATACATGTAGCTTAAAGATTATTTATAAGTTCATGCCAAAAGAAATGAGATCAAGATCTGAATTTACATTTGACACTGGTCTACTTATTGTTGTTATCGTCAGAGACATGCACTGTACCGAATGGTAACCTGAACTCATCTATGGGACCTCGGATCCGCCTTGAGAAGCCTGTACTTCAGAAACTGTTACACCAGTCTCATCTGCCTTCAACACCACCCTGGCCTCGAGATGTTGAATGTAAGTTATCAAATAATTAATTCATAAAATTCATTTCAGTTTTGTTACCAGGGGCATTCCTAGACCATTTTGAATAAACCGTGAGAAGTTGATGAGAAGAAACAGGCTGGTAGTCAGATTACCACATATTCCAACAGATATTCAGGAAGAAGAAGAAGAAGAAGAAGAGGAGGAGGAGGAGGAGGAGGAGGAGGAGGAGGAGGAGGAGGAGGAGGAGGAGGAGGAGGAGGAGGAGGAGGAGGAGGAGGAGGAGGAGGAGGAGGAGGAGGAGGAGGAGGAGGAGGAGGAGGAGGAGGAGGAGGAGGAGGAGGAGGAGGAGGAGGAGGAGGAGGAGGAGGAGGAGGAGGAGGAGGAGGAGGAGGAGGAGGAGGAGGAGGAGGAGGAGGAGGAGGAGGAGGAGGAGGAGGAGGAGGAGGAGGAGGAGGAGGAGGAGGAGGAGGAGGAGGAGGATCTTTTCAATGGGGTGTCACCCTCTAATTTATTGGAGCCCCTGTCAGTTTGATACATTTTTTATATGTTTGTACATGTGTGTTCAAGTTTGTTTTTGTGGGTGTTGAATGGGTAATACATGTATTAACGTTAGGTAATGAACATAATCAACATGATACAACCGTTACACATTCAAGCAATTCAATTGGAAAATTTGTAAATGAAACAAAAAATATTGTCAGTAAGAATAATAGGCAAAGAAAAAAAGGGGGAATGAAGAGAGAGGGAGGGAGGGAGAGAGAGAGAGAGAGAGAGAGGGATAGAGATAAAAACAAGAAAGAAACATTTGATATCATTACCAACCTGTTTTAAATATAATCTAGAGAGAGAGGGAGAGAGCGAGAGAGAGAGAAAGAGAGAGAGAGAGAGAGAGAGAGAGAGCGAGCGAGAGAGAGTGGCAATGAGAGTGAGAGGGAGGCAATTAGAGACATTGAAAACAAAGTGGTAGAGGTTGCCCAAACTAGATTTTCTCATCATCGTATGACTTTGTTCATAATTGCTTGTACAAATAATAAGGCGACAAAGCAAATTGCCAAAAAAAAAAAAAATTACCTCCGGTCTACTGGTTCTATTGTGTGTATTATTAATACAATAACCCTGACCCTGCCTTGAATACACAAGGAATATTGATTTTGTTCATCCATGTCATAAAATGGGACATATTCCAAGATGTGAGAAAACTTCTGTTAGTTCATGATGTCAGTGAATATCATCTACATATGTATGTGCTTTGTATGCACATGGGAGTGTGTACCCTTGCTTACTACATGTAAGCTCACTGTATATATAATGTACCTGTAGGCTATAAATAGAAGAAAATAATAAAGCAAGATATAAAGCAAGAAAAAAAAAATACATTGGACAGTACTAACATCTGATCAAATTATTATCTTCCTCTTTTGTATAATTGAACACTTGTGGGGATATAATTGTGTAGACCTTGGGATCATTAAACTAAAACTTCTGCGCAAGTCTTGGATTTTTCGATCAACATAATGAATGGCTATTTTAAAATTTCTAATCTTCTCTTTGAATTTTTTCAGTTGTGTTTCAATCCCATGGCCCAGTCCATCAACAAAATTTGAACTCTAATCTCAGTTCGAATTTGCAAACATGTTGTGATAAATAAAGGAGCATAAAATATTATTTTGTTTGTATTTTAACGTTTTCTCTTGTGAAATATTTACCATTTCATGTTTTTTAATGTTTTCTGATGTTTCATATTTTGCATTTCACTTTTTTGATGTTTCTCTTGTGTAATAGTTTGCATTTCACGTTGTTTAATGTTTTCATTTGTTTGATATTTTGTATTTCATTTAAATGTAATTACATTATATCTTTAGTCTAGGCACAACATACTGGTGACATTACCCAATTAACAGTGTTCATATTTATTGATGCATGCTAGATTGAAATGCCATAGCATATATTTGAGTACAAGTACCTATTAAAGAAGATGACATGAATTTATGGACACAATCATTTTCATGCCTGTGCCCACAGAATGGTCTGATTCATTTCTTCTTATTTTCAAATACTATAAATCTGTTAAAGCCTGTCTGTACTAGTTTGATAAGGGGGATTATACCTCTCTGCAAGGTCACTGGCAGGTGGTTATCTCATCAAATCAGCTCTCAATTAACATAAGAAAAAGGAGATTATGGGGGACCAACAGGCACCGATAAGGCATTGTTTGCTACATGTATATAGAGGGCGCAAGTAGCTACAATGTATATGTAGTGCAGTGGGGCTTTAAGTGGGAATAGATTGATAGTAAATAATGGTAAATATGAATTAACTGAATTAGCAGGAGAATATTGGAGATGTACATGTAGTCCCTCTCATCTTACTGGGTTCTCTTCATCAGCTCTAGATTGCCAAATAACCCGCTATTTTAACTATCCCGATCGCAAATTATCCAGATAATTTGCGTCTTCTTCAGCCCGCAGTTGCGATTAGCGGGATATTTGGTCGAGATAATCATCCCAAAATATCTTAGACTAGTTTTTGTCTAAGTTTTTTTTACTAGATTTGCACTATGCGCGAACGTTGAGCAAAATATCTGGAGCACAAGTTTCGAGTTTCGAGATCGATTCTCGAGCTGATAAAGACGTGATTTATAACTTTGGGCTTATTTTCCAAATCAGAAATAGCAGGCTATTTGTTAATCTCGAGCTGATGAAGACATACAATGTACCTATGGTCAAGGAAAAATCTCTTTTCTGGAAAATCATGGAAAGTCATAGAAATTGTGAGGGGAGGCAGAGCCATAAAAAACAAAGAATATTGATTTGGTACATCCATGTCATAAAATGGGACATACATGTACATGTATTCCAAGATGCGAGATAACTTCTGTAGAGAATTGTTGTCAGTGAATTTAATTGTGAGGAAATTGTGAGGGGAGAAAGAGCCGCAGAGGCCATCACAAACATGACATAATATGTAACACTGTGAGGTATTTGTACGAAGCTTGGATGCTGCAACCCATATACCAAAATGATACTCATCCAGTTTGTGGAAAATTATAGAATTTGGTTTCCAAATTTCTGTGGGAATCCTGTATTGTCATGTTGAGCTTTATTTTCAAAGGCACTTTCTGTTACTACAGTCAAACCTGTCTATAGCGACCACCCAAGGGAGACGCAAAAAGTGGTCTTTTGTAGACAGATTCCTTGGTTTCAATGTTTCAATGAGAAACCATTCTCAAGGGGAACAAAACAAAATGTGGTCTTTGTAGACAGGTGGTCACCAAAGCAGGTTTGACTATATTTTGATTGCCTGTATTTTTTCTTTTTTTTTCTTCCACCAGCTCTTTTTGACGCTGCAGCCATCCAGGCGTCAGGACTTCCGGTCTTTAAACCAAGGTAAGAGATTAGCCTTCAGAGATGTATGCTTAGCTACAGGATGGACTGAGTCGCATGGAGGAAGAGATAGATTATAGAGGGAAAGAGAGACAGAGAGAGACAGAGAGAGACAGAGACAGAAAGAGACAGATATAGACAGAGACAGAGACAGAAAGAGAGACAGAGAGAGACAGACAAAGACAGACAGATACAGACAGAGACAGAGAGACAGATATAGACATAGATAGAGACAGAGACAGATATAGACAGAGACAGAGAGAGAGACAGAGACAGCTCTATAGACCGATACAGAAAGAGGCAGAAAATGGGGGGGGGGGGGGGGAGTTGATGAGATAGCCACCTGTCAGTGACCACCCTGGGTGGTCTTATTCCTCCTAGTCAAACTAGTACAAACAGCCTTTAAGACTTCATCTTTACACCATCTTTCGCATGTTCGTTTCAGGATACCGGCGCTGGTCTACCACAAGCAGACTTTCTTAGCCTTCAGCGAGGCCAGGTTTGATGGGCTCAAGGACTTTGGGAACATCATGATGGTCGTGAGGAGGGGGTTGGTAGAGGGGCGAGAGATTAGCTGGGGGACGATTAAGCTCCTTGTTAATCTGCCCGCATTCAGGTAGGTGTATTTCCTTTTCTTCATCACACTGACATGGGGCCAGCAGGAGTGCTTAAAGGGGGTGCAGCATGGCAAATATTGGTTAATGCCGTCTACGACTTCTGTTGGTCAACTGCACGTAAATGAAAGGACTTGATTAATGGTCAGCGTGCACTTGCGTTCGCGAATGTTGCACGCACATGAATACTGCGGTCGCGTAGTCCGTAGTCATATTGTACCCGATTGGCCCTCAGTCAGGCCATGGAAAAGACAAGTAGTCTCGTCATGCTACACAGCCCCTTCAAGCGAGTTGCGCCGTTCTCCTAAGCACGATACACAAGTTGAAACTGATCTAGCAAATCATGCTAGGTCAGAACCAAATCGTGTGCCATTCATATCATAGCAGTTTAGCAAAAAAAAATTTCACCTCTCAAGGCCATGTTTTTAGTACATGTAGTTGCCTTTTGTACGTCTTGTGTGATTTTCTCTCACCACTGAACTTCATGTTAAAGACTGTCAATACGAAATGTGGATCCATTTCATATTGTGCTAACCCTGTTCTAGTTGCAACGTTATTGTTGCAACTGATATTGTTCAGTCTGCAATGAATATTTTCACATAAAATACACATCTATAATAATAATACGCTAAGGCTCCGCGGGGGGCGCGACGTCTCGGCGAGCCTTTGTATTCTATTGTTTTTTAATGAGATCGCCGACCCAAGTTGGTGCGGCTATCTCCTCCTGAACCCTGCCCTCGGGGTACCCGTGCCCGGTGCCATCGTCCGCGGGAGAGTCTACTCTAGCGAATTGGCTATACTCCGCCCGAGGTCCTCCTCCGTGTCGACGTCCAGGGCGAAAACAGACGCGACATGCATAATGCACGATATGCGTGACGACAGAGATACCTCATGGATATGCAACATGACATCCGTAGACACACTACCGATGACCATCCACTCACATTAAGTTGCGTATTAAATGCTCTATGCAAAGGGCGGGATTACCGAGAGTAGAGCGTCTTGCTATAGGATGTGCTTTGTAGTAGCTAGGATGTGCTTTGCATGTAGTAGCTGCACAATTATACACGGGGCTTCCCGTCGACGTCCAAACTTAGAGACCTATTTCCATCATGATTGCCGCGATTTTTATATAGTTTTCGTGAATGGAGGTATGAAATCAAAGCTTATTTTGTGATTATGACGGTTAATGTATACTACATTTTTGATTATCATTTTCTAAAGGAAAGTTTTCACAAGAAAACCATTGGACTGACAGTTCATGTCGCAAGCTGCCTTCAGTCCTCACACATACAGTACTCACAGTGCAGTGTAACCCCGGCACCGCGCACTGCAGGCGTCCGAAGCCTGCGGCGTCGGTGTTCGAGCTTTTTGTTACGCTGGAGTGTGTGTGAGTTAAGCTGAGCTGAGCTCGAGTCGAAGAGATTTGACACTTTGAAATTGTTATCTGTTGGTTTGCATCATTATTGCCGCGATTTCAATATAGTTTCGTGAATAGATTTACGAAACCTGAGCTTAGAATTAGTAAAAGTATTACTAATGTCTACGTTTTTAAACGACTGTCTGATTTTCTTGTGAAAATTTTACTTTGAAAAATGATTATCGAAATTCATGGTCAGAAATAATCACAATCTAGGGTCTATTAATTATGTTACAGTTCTTGCATCAAATCAATGCATGAAAACTTAGTTATTGTTCTAGAAAAATGTTTTTTTTTTTTAAATAGGCAATTATGAAGTATTAAGCCTGAAACCTTAGCCTACTAAACAAATCTCTACAAAGTGTAGACCTATCCTTTTATGAATTAATGAAAAAGTAGCCCCAGAAAAAAGAGCCCCCGAAAGTTGAAAAAGTAGCCCCCGAAAATTTCCCAAAAATTGGAAATGATCGAGCCCCCGAAATGAAAAAACTTAATTTTTTGCCTGCGCCCCCCCCCTCTAGAATCCCGCGGATTTCCGCGGGTCCTGAGTTGAGCGTATATATAATATAGGCGTGGGGTCCACGGGTTTCAAGGGGCCATAAACCCCCAAAAGCTCGGGGGGTTACGTTCTTCAAAGTTGGGGGGGGGGGGGGGGGGGAGAGATCAGATCGCGGCGAGTTGAGTGTATATACAATATAGGCGTGGGATCCACGGGTTTCAAGGGGCCATAAACCCCCGAAAGCTCGGGGGGTTTAGGCGTTTAATTAGGGTCAGATGAGCATATTTTTAATACTTTATTTGTGACACTTGCGGGTCACTAATTGGCGTGGGGTCAATACGTAGAGTTGCGTAGTGTTGCGTACCAACTACGCTGGCCTACGTTACTATATGCTGAGGGACGGAAAGAGGTACGCAAGATGAACGAAAACAATTCAACATGTTTAATTTTTTTCGCGTAGTTTCGGCGTAGAAACTTGACGCAGAAAGTACGCCTTTTTACGCAACACTATGCTACATGACTACGCAACAGTACGCTACCCTACGCCAGATCGTCAAAGCAGTAAAAGCTTTCTACACAGTAAGCAACCATAAGCAAACCTGTACTCCAGCCTACGCATAACCTACGCAGGGACTATTTTCCCATTAATACGCAGCCTAATTTCTGCGTAGTCGGTACGCCACACTACGGAACTCTACGCAGTTCCAGTGGCTTAAAGAATAACTACAGGTACAGTTGGATCGTTTTTTTATTTTTATATACAGTGTAAGGCCAAATTTAAAAAAAAAAATGTTTAGCGTCCTGTTTTTTCGAAAAATGGGAAGGAGGAGGCCCTTTTTTTTTCTTTCTTTCTTTCAAAAAGGCTGCTCCGTACATTTTCCCTGACATTCTGGCTATTTTTCAAGATAGCGGCCGACAATTTTTTTTTTTCTTTTTTAAAATCAGAAATACATTTTAGCAGTGCTTTTCATCTTTTTTTTCTTTCAAAAAATAAAAAAATTAAAATTAAAAAAAAATAAAAAAAATAAATAAAAAATAGGAGGCGGCCCCCAAAAAGGAAGCAGGCGGGGACACTGTTTTTTCTTCTTTCAAAAAAAAATTTAAAAAAAATTTAAAAAAATAAACAATTACAAAATTTAAAAATAAAAAATAAAAAAAAATAATAATAATAATTAAAAAAAAAAAAAAAAATAGGAGGCGGCCCCCTAAAAGGAAGCAGGCGGGGACGCTGTTTTTTTTCTTTCAGAAAAAAAAAAATTCAAAAAAATTTCAAAAAAAAAAAAATAGGAGGCGGCCCCCAAAAAGGAAACGGGCGGGGACGCTAAACATGTATATTTTTTTAATGGCCTGAATGGCAAATAAAGTTCTTGGTGGTTTTAATTTAGGCAGTCTCTATATATCTATTTACATCCCCCGCCCCCTCTAGAATCCCGCGGATTTCCGCGGGTCCTGCTAGTTTAATAATAATAATACTACAGCATTTAAAAATGCAGCATATGAAATATATAATAAATATAAAATGTTCCAGTTGATGAAAAAAAGTGCATAATTTTTGTATGAAATGTTACTGTTTATATTCCTCCTACTTTATTAACCCTCTAACATGCAAAAAAGTCCTGAAAAATTTCTCAAATCACAAAGATATTTATTGTTTTCTTTGAAGGCGTCACTGTGCGACACCCTCAAAATTATCCCAACAATTTTTTAATGTTCCCTACCGTTTTTTTCCATGAAACTAAGACAAAAGACAGGCTTTGAAAAACATTTCAACACTTAAATGTCTTGAAGTATAGAGAGCCTTCTCATTGCTTTGTGACAATTTACATATACCTAAAATGTAATTAAATTATAATAATATAGTTGGGAGTATTCTGGAATTGATAAGATCAGTTTTTGTCTCGCCTGCGTAGCAAAAAGCGAGACATAGGCGCCGCTTTTCCGGTGACGGCGGCGGCGACGGCGACGGCGACGGCGACGGCGACGGCGTCAACATCAAAAACTTAACCTAAGGTTAAGTTTTTGAATTTTTGGTATAATTTTTAAAGTATAAGTTCTTAGTCAATGAAACTTTGACTATATGGTAATCAAGTATCCCCAATCATGTGAGTAGAATTTCAGATCACAAAGTCAAGGTCAAAGGTCATTTCAGGTCAACAGACTTGGACTATGTTGTAGCATCATCATCGAAAACTTAACCTAAGGTTAAGTTTTTGAATTTTTGATATAATTTTGAAAGTATAAGTTCTTAGTCAATGAAACTTGGACTATAGGGTTATCAAGTCTCCCCAATCATGTGAGTAGAATTTCAGGTCTCTAAGTTAAGGTCAAAGGCCATTTAAGGTCAACAAACTTAGACTTTGTTGTGGCATCAACATTAAGATTTTCAAAATGCTTCTTCTTCGTTATTTTTCAACCGATTTTGATTCTGATTGTTTCATATGATAGGGCTAGGAGGGGATTTAAAATTTCTACACAGAATCGTGAAATTCATTATCTATGCTAATTTATGCAAATTTATTCGAAATCACAAAAAAAGGCTTCTTCTCCTTCATTTCTCGACCGATTTTGATTTGGTTTGCTTTATATGGTAGAGCTAACTTTGGTACACTAAACTTCTACACAGAATTTTGAAATTGTTCTCCATTAATTAATTATGGTAATTTATGCAAATTTATTCCAAAAATAACAAAAATTGCTTCTTTTCCCTCATTTCTTGACCAATTTTGCCTTATCTGGTAGAGCTAAATTTGGAACAATAAACTTCTACACAGAATTGTGAGATTTTGCTCCATTGATTATTTATGGTACTTTATGCAAATGAAATGAAATTATGTCCCTTCCAGGGCATCAAATTTCTATTTTTTGACCAGTTCAAAAGTGTACCACATAAAATTTACGATATTTGTTGTTGTGAGATGCGGATGAGCGCTACGTCATTGACGTTCTGGTTTATCACATTGAATTGCGTTATGCAGGCGAGACCGCCGAGAGCGTTTCCCTTGTTTTCAATTTGCATCATTAATAATGGCCTGTTTGTCACTCAAACTTTCAGAATTCTTTTATTGTACATCTAGCATTGAAGTCACTACCTTAGCACCATTTTCTCTCATCTGAACAATGTTACCAAGTCCCTTTAAAGCCCCACTGTCCTACTTGTAGCTACTTGCTCCCTCTATTTGGCAAACTTCCCCAATCGGTGCCTGTTGGTCCCCCATGATCCTTTTTTTCTTATGTTAGTTGAGAGCTGAGATGATGAGATTGCCACCTGTCAGTTACCTGGCTGGGTAGTCTAATCCCTTCTGGCCCAATAGTATTGACGGTCTTTAATGTTACATTTATTCCCTGATCTTTTTCTTAATCCTGTACAGGATAAATAACCCAAGTCCAATCGTAGATAAGGTGAATGATGCCATCGTCCTGGTATTTTCCGCTTTTCCCACGGAACTCTCCTTCCAAGATATGATGGCGTTCCCCAGGTTTCCCATGTCCAAGATGTATATAATGAAGGTATGTTTCAAAACAAGACTGAAATTCGATATTTGACACAATGGCATACATGTTGTATGCTTGGCATTAAATTTCTTGTGACACTTGGTTTGTGCATGTACAGTGTGAGTAAAAAAAAAAAAGTTTACACCTAGAAAATTGCTGATTATTTTAAAGGTAATACAAAGTTTTGGGAAATTTTGAAAATTGGGTGGATAGTGATTCTTTACAATTTTGATATATTTGGATGCCCCTGTGGATGTCTTATAAGCACTAGAAAATTTAGTCCCTAAAACACTTCTACTTTCGAGAAAATCTAAATATAAACATTTACCGGTGCTCCCGGTAAATTTTGATAAATTTCAAAAAGCGCCTACGACCGTACAGTGGTAGCTGCGACCATGAAAATCTCAGAATATGTAGTTGTAATATATAATATCCAAACAGGAATAGCTAATCGGTCGAGTTTAGTCAAGAAACATTGCTTTATAGCTTAATTAATATCTCGACCTTAAGAGGGAGCTATACAACATAACGAGTTTATTATTTACAATTTCATAACCTAAGACTCGATTTCAACCGCGACAACGATCACTGAATGTCGTAGGATTGCACATGCTTCCAATATGTTCATTTGAACCAAATCCATGACCCCATACCAAAACTTTGTATAACCTTTAAAAATCATCTATGAATAGTAAATTATTAAACATCTTAGGAAAGAGTGTTTGATCTCAAATCGTTTGGTATCATTTGTGTGTGGCAGGGTTATTTACCGACATTACTACCACGGTGATAATAATGTATCTTCAATTGCGCCATCTGTTGGTGAAAGCATACATGAGCGATTTCCGGTTCATGTATCCAAGCATCATCATGTAATTGTCATCTGTTGTTAATGCATTGTGGGACAAGGCTGTCGACACATCAGGGGGGTGTTTCACAAAGATCCTAAGTTGAACTTATCTCTAAGTTGGACTTACCAATTATGGAAAGCCGTTAGCATCATTGAAAATATTTTGTAAAAATTATTTTAAAAGGCATAAAATGTTGATTCAAATCATTCATATTTTAAATTATCATGGGAGATTTCATGTTCCTGATGTGGAATTTATAAAAAGTCTAAAATACTCCCAATTTTTTTTTGAATTTAATTTATTTTAAGGCTACAAATGGCTTTCTATAATTTTTAAGTCCAACTTAGAGTTAAGTTCAACTTAAAATCTTTGTGAAACACCCCCCAGGACATTTTATGCTGCAGATGGTAGTATATGTAAATCTGAAAAAGGGTCAATAGAATACTCTGCATTTAAATGTTTTGTTTGTACTTCTTTTCATTTCATGGTTCTAAACTTGCATATTTCCTTTCAATAACATATGCTTTTCGAGATCTTGAGTTTAAAGGCATCGTTTAACAATGTTAAATCTGAGATGCATGGCCCTACATGTTATCAGTGTGTGTGATATGGTGTAATATTGAAGCCCTAAAAAAATTGCGCTGCAAAATGATCATGAAGTGCTTCAAAAAGAGTGACCGGTTTTACCATACTCATTTTCTCCAATAGACTGCAGTGTTATAAAAATCGTAGGAAAACGCGAAATTTGATTTTGATTTCCAATCATAAATATCTTGATAATCAGACAGACGATCGGCTTGTTAAAGTCATGGGGTTCCTGACTGACCTACATGTAAATGTTTGTAATTATCATTGCAGCACGAGCTAAATCAAGGATTTTTTTCAGAATCTGAGCAATGTTACTGATTCACTTCAATAATTTATTTACATATTCAGACATATGACCTTGGTGAGACGTGGACACCTTATGAAGACATCTCATATCAGACTGTACTAACGATGCATCCCGTCCCTGTTCTTATGGTGCCAGGTAAGACCACATGTGCTTGGTGTATTGTGAAAAGGAGCTTTATAGAGTACTGAAGCCGTGACGTCATAAAGAACAATTTTTAGAATTTCTCAATTTGAACTTCATTTTCCGAAAGAGCATGAAAAATAATTTCAAAATGTAAATAAACAACTGAATATGCTGAGTATTGGCTAAGATATGACCATCTGAATGAAAAGATTTCCTAGGAACTCAGTGTTATTTTGCTCTGGTTCGTAATGTTATGAACCAGAGCAAAATAACACTGAGTTCCGATGGTCATATCTCAGCCAATACTTAACATATTCATTTGGTTTTCAACATTTGGACATTATTTTTGATGCTCTTTCGGAAAATAAAGTTCAAATTGAGATATTCTAAAAATAGTTTTGTGATGACGTCACACTTCACCACTCTATTAACAAAACTACTGGTGGTATTAATGTATAAAGGTGTCGTAGACGAGTGATTTAAGCAATTAACTTGAAGTGCAAAGGTTGTGGGTTTGATCCCCGACATGGCACTAATGTCATTGGGCAAGGTATTAATCTATATTTGCCACTTCATACCCAGGAGATGAATTGGGACCTGGATGACGAAAGCCTTTGTATAGTACTTGGCATATATGCCTTCATGACAACCATATGGTAGGAATACTCCCCAGGGAGTGAAGATAGTGTACATTGTGCGTGAATGAATCTGATGACCAGGGTAATATACCTTTAGAGCGCTTAGAGAGTCTTTAGAGAAGGTGTTTTGTATTATATGAATTCAGATTATTATTATCAAATTTATAAAGATATGTGTTCACACTTTACTTTGTATCGCCTATCCTCGCTTCAGGTCCCGGACACAGTATTCAACTGAAGTGTGGTCGAATCGTTGTTCCATGTAACTACTTCACGCAGGACAAGAGAGGAAGTGAGTATTCAATCATCATAATAAAAATAATAATAGTACAGCATTTACAATGTGCCATCAATCTAATAAACTATTCTGAGGCGCAGAGGGAGATTATTACCCTGACTTTAGCACGGCTGCCATTACGGCGCTCTAGCATTTCAAGGAATTTCCTGCCAGGTACCCATTTACATCACCTGGGTTGAGTGTGGCAAATGTAGATCAATGTCTTGCCAAAGGACATTAGTGTCGCGGTGGGACTCCAACCGCAGACCTTGTGATCGACAGGCCGGTGACATATCCACTCGACCACGACACCATGGTAATCAAATGTACTGGTGTGAAACATGCACAGAATCAAATGGAAACTGAAATACGAAAAACATGTACTAAAGGAACCTGTCTACAAAGACCGCCTGTCAACAAAAACCACTTATTGTGTTTCTCTTGGTCGGTCGCTATAGACAGGTTTGACTGTATAATTACTGATGTGGCTTATAACATTGCTTCTTCTCCAGAATCGCTGAATGGGCTGTGCCATAATTGCAGTAACTACAATCGAGCTATCTACAGTGATGACGGGGGAATCACGTGGACCGTTGGTGGACGATCTAAATTCAAACGGGATCCATTCCGCATCCCGATTCATCCCAATGAAGTCATGGTAAGTTTGGATCTGGCGGGTGTTTCACAAAGATATTAAATCAAACTTGGCTCTAAGTTGGACTTAAACATTTCGGAGAGCCATTTGTAGCCTTAAAACAAAACATATTCAAAAGGGAAAATTCAAGTATTTTAGACTTTTCATAAATTCCACATCAAGAACATGACATCTCCTAGATAAAAGAAAATATGAAAGATTTGAGTTAACATTTTATGCCTTTTAACTTAACTTTTACCAAATGTTTTCATAGATGCTAACGCCTTTCCATAATTGTTAAGTCCAACTTTGGATCTTTGTGAAACACCCCCCCCCCCCGAAAAGTAAGAAGGAGATGTTACTTCTTTGTGTAAATAAATCTACTTGAAGCCTCTGCATTTTCTAAGGTGCCTTTGTATGTTTCAACATCTACATGTTTTGGTGGCTTGCGATATCAAAATTACCAGGCATTTTCCAGGTTTGTGTGTGTGTTGTTTTTTTTCTTTCTTTTAGTCTTGGAGTAATTGCAGAAAAATGTGATAACGTTGTTGTTATTTTGTAAGGCTCTTCTCAGAGACAGTATTTACCATAATAAGACTTTACGAGATGTCAGGTAGCAAGTTTTGTTTCAATATGTATGTAGTTTGCAATTTTTTTTTGAAGAAAATAAGAACTGAGAGAGAGAGAGAGAGAGAGAGAGAGAGAGAGAGACAGAGAGACAGAGACAGAAAGGGAGACAGAGAGACAGAGAGACAGAGAGAGAGAGAAATCTAAGTACTCATCTTGCATGATTAGGTGGATATGAAATTACAAATTTACGTTTTATTTTGATTCAGGCTGTAGAATTAGATAACGGTGTTGTGAGCCTGAACAGCAGGACGCTTAATTTCCAGCAGACGAGGGCGGCGATCTACAGCTTTGATGGGGGTGCCACACTTTCCGAGACCATTTTAAAGGACGAGCTCGTTGAACCGGGCTGGAAGATAACCAAACAGGGAAAGTCTTCTCCTAGAGCTGCGGGTGGATGCCAGGTATGGGGATGGTGGTGGTGGTGGTGGTGGTAGTTGTGGTGGTGATGATGGTGATGATGATGATGATGATGATTGTGATGATGATGATGATTGTGATGATGATGATGATGGTGATGATGGTGGGGGTGTTGGTTGTGGTAACGATGGTGGTGATGACGGTGATGATGATGATGGTGATGATGGTGGTGGTGGTGGTGGTGGTGGTGGTGGTGGTGGTGGTGATGATGACGACGACGACGACGACGACGACGATGATGATGTTCAAGATGATTATGATTATAATGACATGTGTTCATTATTTTGATTTCATGTATTATAAGGACAATAATGAAAATGAAGCTGGAAATAATGATATTTACCTAATTACTTGAGGTGAGAATGAGGAGGAAAAATGAACAGGGAACGAAGAGACTTCTTTGTCTTCTTATTTAATAATTATTCAAACTGACATGCAACTTTGTCAAAAAAAACAGCAATCTTTGTAGGACCCCATCAAGGTCAAGCACTTATTGATTGTTATATGTTCTTCTTTAATCATGTCCAGGCAAGTCTCATAGCCTTCCCAAGACCAAAGGGCATCACCATCGGTCAAAAAACATGGGTCATTCTCTCCAACCCAGCTGACCGCATCGAGCGACAGAACCTCGCCCTCCGCCTCAGCATCGACGGTTGCCAGACGTGGTCCCAGCCATTCGGTATCCACGACGTTTTCGCCGCGTACTCGGACATCACCTACTTTGAGATGACGGACGCGAATGGGACATCCCTACCCCATCTCGGCCTCCTCTTCGAGGGTGGAAAGCAAGGGCCGTACGAGTACACCAGATTTAAGATCTTTACCTTAGGGCAGGTCTTACAGGGTTTAATGGCAAGTACCCCGAGTAGGTGACAGTGATGTCATCCTGTACGTGTTCTGGGGCTTGTTTCACAAAGGTTAAGATTGACTTTAAGTTGGACTTAACTATGACAGGCCGTTCATGCTACTGTTTGCTCTCACTATTTAGTGACATTGGTCTATCAATGGACGTACAAATCATGGTCACAAATCTACAGAATTCACATTTTTGGATAATTCATTATTGGGAAAATAATATCTAAAGATCATATTGGTGAGAGCATACAGTGGCATGAACGGCCTGCCATAGTTAAGTCCAACTCAAAGTCGATCTTAGTCTTTGTGAAACACCCCCCTTGTGTAGCATATTGTATGTATGTGTATCTGTATCTGAACCAACTTGCGGAATCATTTTTAAGGTCATGTGTAACAAAAAATTTGAAGCATATTTGTTTTTGTGCCATCTGAAATAGGTGTAATATTGAACATTAATCTGGTCCAAAATAACTAGTTTTGTACTCTATAATAGAAATTATTTATATGGTATCAATCCAATATGCCTCAACCTTTGTGAGCTAATGTTTAGGTATTGAAAAAGGGTCCTGAAGTGATTGTATGACACATGCTATGGGTACAATTGCTGTATGATCAATTAATTACAATTCGAATCTATAACTTTACCTGTGGACCAAACACCTAACTGTACCTGTGGACCAAACACTACACCTAAATTTAAACTTTAAACCTAACCCAAAACCCAATCAAAACCCTAACCCTAACCCGATATTCGGGGAGTGGTCCGGGACTGAAATTCATTCAAATTTGTTTTGATTCATCTTATGTCAACTGACAATCAGACTACTACTTTATCGGCCCGCAAGCAATAATATTGAGTGGCTTGTTTGTGAAACCCCCTAAACTCACCCACGCCAGTCTGCCCCTGCCTATATCTATAACTTAATAAAGCCAGGAGCAACGTGACCAGAGTAAATCGAGGGATCAGTGACTCAAAGACGTAACTCCATTTTGCCCATTTTGAGAAAAAGTGGTTTATGTGTCACTGAGCACTTGGGCCTTTAGGAGTTAAGTCTATGTTTCACTAGCCATTGACTTCCATGGGGTGTTGGGTGGAGTTAAGTCTTTGTGTTTCCTGGAAAGCCCATATTTTTCTGAACATTTTGATATCAAATACTCATTTTGGCAAAATATGGAGTAACGTCTTTGTGTCACTGAACCCTCGAAATGTTGTTCAAACTTTAAAGTAGGAAGAGAGAAAACAATGTTTCTCGTGTTTTTAGCATCGAAACTGAAATATGCATATTAGCGGTATGCAACTTTTTGACTTGAAACATTTGTTTCATGTAATTAGAATATTTTTTGTTTGTACTTGAGCTGTAGAAGCACCTACATGTAGTTTGGATCATGTAATGAAGGGCCATCTTCATTAATCCTTAGAATGCCAAAGATATTTGCTTGAACTCTGTGTTTTGTTCTCCAGCCTATTTTTATAAAATGCAAATTTGAGTGCTTTATTGTGTACAGATCTAGTGTTGATTCTGCCTTTAAATAGAACATCTTGTACTGCTTCAAAAGGTAAAACGAACAAAAAAAATTAAAAAATCACATTCTTAATTCCTTTTATCCCATGTCGGTGCTTTTGACATGGAATGAAACTATATAGGAGAACGGAAACGAAGAGTGAAAAGTTGTAAGATGTAATCACTGTTATTTGACAATCATGTTTTCATGGCATAAAACACTGCACAAGCAACCTTATTTAATAGTTTAATGTACTGAGATTTGATCATGACTTATAATGCATGGGTAATACTTTTAATGATTAAAGTATAATGAATTAAAAAGCTACATATATAAAATGTGATAGGTGCAATGAGGCTTAGTTTAATGGTGACATGTAGCAATGTGTATTACTGGGCCCCATTTCACAAACATTGTCATCAGTGACAAATGACAATTTTTGTTATAAGCTACTGAAATCCTTGTTTCTGATTGGTTATCAGCAGATTTGTCACTGGTTTTTGTCATTGAAAAAAGGATTTGTGAACAGGGTCCCGGGAGCCTCTTTGATGATGACAGTTTCTTGTATATAATGTAGCCTTTTCTGCTCGGTGCTCATGGTGCTCGCTCTCCTCAACGCTAGAGGTACATCATCCATTATTTACAATGTATGTTAAAGCCCGCCTGCACTAGATTGGCCAGGGGGATTAGACCTCCCTGCAAGGTCACTGACAGGTAGTTATCTCATCAAATCAGCTCTCAACTAACATTAGAAAAAGGGGATCATGGGGGACCAACAGGCACTGATTAGGCATTGTTTGTTATAAAGAGGGCGCAAGTAGCTACAAGTAGTACAGTGGGGCTTTGATGGAACTTCATATCAGCGCGGCTTCATATTATACATCTATGTGCAATTCCTTCCAGCTGCTATTCTATGACGAAGGATCAAATTTAATGTAATCCTCATGAATCAGAATGTTTAGTTCAGAATAAGATTGCGAGGCGAGGGGCGGGGGGGGGGGGGGGGGGGGGGGGGAAGGGGAAAACAAGTCAACCTCGTTTCCGAATTCATGTGAAAAGCAATCATTATTAATAATAATTATTAATGAACCCTGCAAATCTGCTCATAATTTTGTGGTTTAATAAATTGGACAGGCTAAATGTTTTGTATTTAATGGACATTTATCGACAGACTGTAGAGACTCATTTTATATGTATATATGTATATATATATCTTCTGCTTTTTTCCAAATAGACTTGCCATCCCTAAAATGGTCACAGATTATGGAATATATGTTTTAGAAATACACATTTAGTATAAAAGCATTCTAAGTAATTTCTACTTATTAATGATTGAAATTGGTGAAGTAATATAATTGAAATATATAGAGTGCCATAAATGTAATTTTTTTTTGGTCAATGACAATCATGTTTTTTGATGCTGCTTATAAATATCGGCTTGCATGGTGATGTAGATTTCTAGGACTCCCCAATCCTTCCCCTCTCTCACATGGTGCAACCGCAAGCCTACTGTAATTCATGTTTTTGTTTTCCTACTCTGCCTACTAACTATTTGGATGTGAGCACCATGACAATGTGGCATGTTCACTTGACTCTCAACCATAGGGTGGAGGGATTGGACCCATATACTGAATTTATGTTATTTCTTAAAGGGAAAGTCCACCCCCAAAGTAAGTTTGTTTCGATAGAGGCAGAATAATAAGAAAATCAGGTGAGTGAAAGTTTGAGCAAATTCTGAATGAAAATAAGAAAGTTATGAATTATTGAAGTTGTGATCAATCAAATACAAATTGGCAACTCTGTGACTTATTATACGAGCTCTCCTTCATTTGCTTTGTGCATAATATTCCATAAAATCATGTTTTCTTCGTTATTGATGACGGAATATATATTTGTTCCTTGCAGGGGGAGTATAGAAACATATTTGCAATTATTATATGTAGGGTGCATGTACAGTGTATGGTTGAAATTTTTCTTGAGGGAAAATGAAAATTTTAGATTTTTTTAGTACTGAGTAAATGGAATTTGAGCTCGCATGATACGTCATAGAGTTGCCAATTTGTGTTTGATTGATCACAACTTCAAAAATCCTAACTTCCTTATTTTTAATCGGAATTTGCTCAAACTTTCACTGACTTGTTTCTCTCATTTTTCTACTCCTATTAAAACTAACTTAATTTCAGGGTGGACTTCCCCTTTAAGAATTGAGTTGAGGTCTCGTCAAATACCAGTAAAGGGTTACATTATGATAGAAACGGTCTTTAAACGCTTAGGACAGGTCGATAATGTAATACACAAAGTTTTTAATCATCAAAATTACGACTCAACTTTGCTTGAAGTTGCATGCACTGTACAAACAAATAAATACATTTTTAGTTATTCACTATTTCATTACAACAACAATAATATTTTCTATCAATAGACAACTCCATGGGGCTCTGATAATACAATGTAGTGGTAGCATTGAAGTTTTAAGGCAGCTCAGACCACGTTTTGAAAACATATTTATGCAGTAATAAGCACCCTTTTAATTTTACAGTGATATCTGGGTGACTATTTCGAAAGATTTTAAAATGTACTTGAGCATACACAAAGAATTTATGCAAATTAGGCTTACATGTACATCATAGATGACATTATATTTTACGTGTATATCCAATTACTTTGAATTAGATTTGCAAAATATTCAAATTATGCAAGGAAACCTGTTTAATTTCTAGACTTCACTGTCAGAGACTATTGAGTGACTGACTGACTTCTTTTTTTTTCTTTGGTAATAACATTCATGTACATACAATGAGTTGTAAAGGGTAAATGAGCATTTGTCTACATCAATAACCCACTTTTTTGGCCTGCAAATGGGACATGGTACCTTTAAAAAAAATACCATTGTTTAATGTACATTATTGATAATTCACTAGCAATGGTTGATATTTTTATATGATATAGTTTATGCATGTGAACCCATTACACAGGTTTGCATTAGAAACAAAATCTCTTAATATAAAGATAATTAATTGTAATGGAAGCAGAATCCACCAATATTCAATGGTAAAATCAAGAGGTGCTTCAGTTTTTGATGAAAATGTGGAACAAAACAATTGCACAAAATTACCCCGATAAGAATGTACCATAGTACATGTACAGTTAACATCTAAAATATTCATACCTTTTGTACATTTGATGTTTGTCGGTGCTTTTAGTGCTTTTAGTAACCAAAGAATGAATTGTGAACTTGTTGAATTAGCCGGGTCTTTGTTGAGTACCTTTTAGAGTAAGGTTCAAGATGTACCATTTTTAAGAAACCTAAATTGGGACAATTCAGTTTTTCACATACACTGTACTTAATACAATTTCAAAACTTGGTAAGGGTATAAATAACTTGGTATTTAACTGCGCATGTCCATGTAATAATGTAATGTAGTTGTTCCAGATACGTATTTCATGATTCCAATATTTCTATGTTATTCCATTTTGTGTAAACTGCAGTGGTATTGCATCATGTCTTTTTTGTTTGATGAGATTAATTAGAGTAATTTGTGAGTAATTAGTCAATTTTTGAGAGAGACACATAGGACAGATTTCACAAAGGAGGTTAAGATTTAACCCGTGGTTTAAACTCTCATTTACATAACCCATGGTTTAACAAGTCAAGTCAGGAGGTCTAATATTAGACGCGCGCAAGGCAAGGTACGCTTATTTTGAGCTCATTTTAAACCATGG